AGTATATTGGTTTTTTCCTGTCTGGTGTCTCGCGGACGCGGGATGCACTTATGGCCTCGGTGGAGATGACCAGGTAGAGGAACAAAGTTTCCCCATTCTATGATCGTGATAATACAAGCGGTTGTGAAAGGGACCGTTTGAGGTGGAGGAAAGCTTGCTCACACTCCTCGGTCCACTCGAATGCCACCTCTTTTCGCAAGAGTTTGAAGCATGGGAGTGCATTTTGTGCGGATTTCGCTACGAAGCGGAAGAGCAATGTGGGCATGCCTTTCAAGACTTGTATGGATTTTTTCGAGCTTGGCGTGGAGAGCTTGGAGAATGCCCGATATTTATCGGGGTTGGCTTTGATTCCTCATTCGGTTAGGTAGAAACCAAGGAATTTTCCTGCCCTAACTCTGAAAGTGCATTTCTCCTGGTTGAATCTCATTTTGCATTGCCTTGCTTGGGAAGACAATCTTTTGATGTGGGTAGCATGGTCAGTTTTCGCTTGAGACTTGATGATTATGTCATCCATGTATACCTCGAGCATGTTCATGATCTCACCACGGAATACTTTATTCATCATTCACTGGTATGTTACCCCTGTGTTTTTTAGGCCGGAGGACATTACGTTGTAGTAGTAATTGCTCGACCCGGTCATGAAGGCAGTGTAATGTTTGTCACTTATTGCCATAGGGATTTAATTATATCCCAAGTAAGCATCCATAAATGATAAACTTTTATAGTCGGCCGAGTTGTCGACCAGTATGTTGATATTAGGTAAAGGAAACACATCTTTAGAACATGCCCGGTTAGGATCAGTATAGTCAACACACATACGATATTTTCCATTATTTCTTTTAACAAGTACAACTTTTGAGAGTCAGGTTGAATACCGGGCCTCAGAAATAAAATTTTCCTCTAGGAGGTCTTTTACAACTCTTTCAGCAGCCTCTGCCTTTTTCGGGAGACTGCCTACGCCTATGTTGTACTACTGCCTTAGCGGTTGGATCCATAGTAAGTTAGTGACAGGAAACATCAGGTTTGAGCTCGGGCATCTCCGCAGTGCTCCACGCAAACAAGTCGGCATTCTCCCTCAAGCGGGATTTGAGTTGCTTCCTCGCCAGGTCAGGGAGTCCAGCACCAATCTTTACGCCTTTGCTCGGGTCTTCATCGAGGAGGATGAACTCGAAGTCTCTGTCTAGGATGGGTCGAAGAGGATCATGTTCTCCATTGAGGGCCCCGACTTCATCTTTGTCAAAGAGGGTGTCGAGGTTAATGGAGTCGACCTTTGGTGGAGTTTGTTGTTCTTGAACTCAAGCAGGTTTGTCCGCCGAGGTAGCCTGTCGAGGTAGTTGCTCTTTTAGTAGGTCGTTCCCTAGTGTCGATCATGTTTTGCCCTTTGGAAGTCACGTTGAAACATCTCCTGGAAGCTGAGATGTCTTCATGAATGGTGGCGACATGGGCCCTCTTGGTGTATAACTTTATCTTTAAATGAACCGTAGAGGGTACTGCGGTCAGCTCAGCCAATGTCGGTCTCCCCAGGATGCAGTTGTAGAGAGACGAGAAACTCTACATAGCTCCATGGCTTGGAGGTTGAACTGTTAAATCTTTACAGGTCAGACCCCATGTATGGTGCAAGGTGGATATTGTCGAGCTGCAGGGTGTGGAACATGTGGGTGTACATGACGTCGATAGAATTCCCCTCATCGACCAGGATGAGATGTATATCAAAGTTGGCCATTTTTGCCCTCACTAGCAGAGGCATACTGGAGTTGGGGACTCCGTCGGGCAGCTCCTCGAGATAGAAGGTGATTGACTCAGATTTTCCCTTGAATATTTCAAGGGTTACAACCTGGATCGGGGCTGCATCCACTAGCTCGTTGAGTTTCCTCTTTGCTGAATTCACTGAGATGTCAGTGAATCCCCCACTAGATATGACCATGGAGGAGGGGAACTTCTCCCATCTACTGTGAGTGAAAAAGGGCTCGTCATCTTCAAGACAGTCAGGGATGTGGAAGTCCTCAGGCCTTGAGATGCAGAAGGCTACCTGGAGGGGACTAGAGTCATTGGATGGTCGAAAGTCCTCCCAAATTTATTTAACCTCGTGGGTGTCCCAGTGAGGGGCGTCGTACCTCTTATACTACCCGAGTCTCCCTGCCTTGATGAGAATCTCGATGGCATCCTTCAGGTTGACGCAGTCTTCGGTCAGGTGACCATGGCTCCAGTGGTACTGACAGTACTTTGTTCTATAGGCCCCAGGCTTTGAAGGGGTGGGTCGGGGATGTCTGGCCCCACCGCCCTTGAACTCAGCATTGGAGCACTCTGCAAGGATACGCTTGCGAGAAGCATTCAGTGGGGTATATTCGGTGAACCTCCTGGATGGTCCTCTGTGCTCGCGGGGGTCGCAAGGTTTCTCCTCCTTTCTCTTCTCCTATGTTCATCGAGAAGAGCCCACGTCATTGTACCGCGGGACATTAGTTGGTATGCGGTTCCCCGAATCGCGGGTGTTGTTGGCGATCTCTTTTTCCTCGTAGTTCGTGTACGCCTGGGCTTTTTCCAGGAGTGCATCAAAAGACCCGGGGGGGCTCAATATCGATGGTCTTTCTAAATTCAGTGCCCGAGAGGAATCCTCTATCGAGAAAGTATCTCTTCATGTGATCGGCGCAGAGGACCTGAATGGCCCCTCGGTTGAACTGATCAATGTATTCTCTGGGTGTTTCATCGCTCCTCTGGATGATTGCCTCAACGACGGCCTTAGTCTTTGGGTGCCAACGAGATGCAGTGAAGCTGCTGATGAATTGGTTCTTCAGATTCCTCCACGAGGTGATCGACATGAGGGATAGGATCTTATACTAGTCCATGGCTATTTTCCTTGGCATCATGGGGAACAGTCTGCATTTAATGGGCCCCCCAATGTTGTGATAGTGAAGCAGGCCTTGAAGTCATCGATGTGGTCGACAGGGTCAGCAATGCCATTGTATTCCTTCAGAAGGGGAGGCTTCTCCATCCCTTTAGGAATAGGGGCCTCCATTATGGCTTGGAACAGTGGACCACGGGAGTCGTCTTTGTTGTTTCTTTTTGGAGAGCGAGAGGGGGACCGGTAGAAGTGGTGATCTTTGTGTTGGTCTTGGCCACAAGGATGGTTCCTCGACCGAGACTTCTTCTCTTCCTCGCCCCTGTTTCTTTTATGTTCATGGGATCGTCGTTCTTTGGGCGGGGGGTGTGACTGCGCTTCTTGACAGTTTCGGGCTGGGTCCTCTCCAATGAAGGACCTCACCCAGTAGGCGGGGAGTTGGGCTCCGATAATTGTCTTGTTTGTGTCTCTGCGGGGGAGATTGAGAGTGGTCCTCTCTCCTTCGGGGAGGAGGATTTCGAGAATCAGGTCTTCGATGATTTCTGGGGGACCGACGAGTCTATTCAAGCATCATCAGACACTTATCCTGCGCGAAGATCATGTAATTCGTCCGGTTGATCACCACAAACAGGACTCTGATCGTGCCGTCAGTGTTTTCGAGAACAGGGATCTCCTGATACACAGCCAAATCGTAATTCTGTCGAGGATAGTATGTGTCTTCGCGTGGTTGCGAGCGGGTGGAGGAAGATGCGGTCATCCCCTCCCAGAGGTCTTGCTCGAAGGCGGCAACATTGTTGTTGTTGTCTGTGTTGTTGTTATCAGTGTTGTTGTTGTCAGCGTCGGTGAAGTGAATGTTCTGGTCATTGTTGATAGCGTGGCCAGTCATGACAATCGGAAGGTTGAGAGAGTTGCTTTGGTATTGAGTGAAAGACAGGGAAGTTGGATTCTCATAGATGGCACCACTGATCCTATCTGATCAGAAGGGATCGTCAAGGCCCGCGAGCTTCAAATTTAGCAGCGGTCGAATGTGAAGTGGGGGATACTTGTAAGATACTCTAATGCCAAAGTAAGAGTCTAGACAATCATAGTGCAAGTAACATAAGTAAGGTAGAATAAGTGAATGAATGAATAATTGACCCTCTCAAGTGAGAGGGTTTATATAGCCCCCGATGCTAGGCCAAGGTCTTCAGTGTTGGGCTACAATGAGGTCCAATAATGAAGACTACCAGGATTTATGGGTGTATGGAGTCCAGCATGTTGAGCTATAATATTGAAGTACGGATCGGGTAGGCCCATCAGGCCGCACGGGCCTTTGAAAACTGGGTTGACTCAATTTCGACAGGCCATTAAGCAATTGGATCAGTCCATTTCAACCCATTTAAATATTTTTGGCACATCATGCTGAAGCAGGTTGGGGCTGAACTATTTGACAGTTCTGTACATATGTCTTTTTCATCGAAGATTTTAAAGTACATAATCTTCAAATAACAAGGATAGTTTTAAAAATAAAATTAGAGAGACAAAATCAAAAACCACTTAAATGACAAGAGATAAAATGATATTAACCTAAATATTGTTTAAGGTCAATTACATATAAAATATAAACGTGAATTTATATTAAAAAGTTATTTAAAGTAGTTGAAGCTGAACAATTGATATGTACTAATTGAATTAATTTAATTAAGTTAATTGAGTGTGAAGTGATATTTATAAATTAATAACATTTTAAAAAAATATAAAAAGAATAATTTCTACGCATTTTTAAATTCAAACTACACTAAATTATTTCTTAAATTAAATTTTAAGAAATATTTCAATTTTTTAAATGTGAAAACATTCAATTCAAAATTTTATGAACACATTAATTTTTAATGAACTTTAATCAAATTAAAATAATAACACAATTTATCATAAAACTTCTTTTCCAATTTAAAAAACAAAAATCAAATTTGGACCAATTTGTCATAGAAGTTCAATAGTCAATATTATTGAACTGTCAAGTGCCATGTTTTTGAGACCTCAAATAAAAAGATAAGATTCATAGCCACAATCCAAAACAACCTCACCTTCTTAAAGTGCTCTCTCATAAAAAAAATAAAAAAATAAAAATTAAATTTGTAGAAATTCAACTTCCTTTCATTTCATCAAAAAATCATAGACACTAATGAGTTCTAAGATAAACTTCTCAAACCCTCCAATACCATGCAAATTTCACACCAAAAAACCAAATCTTCTAAAAAGAAACACAATCATCTTCTCTTCCTTTTCCTCAAGTGAAAAACAACAAAAAACCATTTCCACCACAGTTGAAACTCCATCAAATGATAATAAGGCTTACACTATCAATTTCAAGACAAAAAGTGCTTGCAAGCTTGGAATTTCAAGGTATCCTGATTTTGAATATGATGCTGAAGGAGGAATAGGAAACGGTCTTGGTGCAAAGGCAACACAAAATCAAGATAATAATGATATTCTTGTTTCATTTGATCTTCAAACATTGTATATTCCTTCCTTAACAAGCTCTACAACTAAGTTTCTTGGATTGTCATTGCCACCATTCTTGAGGATTGATATTGTTCCAGAAGCTTTCCAAGGAACCATTGATCAAGAATCTGGCAAGGTAAGATACATGTGTCACGATTTTAAATAATGGTCTCGGTCGCATAAAGGCTTCCGTGATTTCGATTTGTATATGTGTTGCGACAATGATTGCAATCGTCGCGATATAAATTATATATAATTTATAATTTATTATAAAAACGATGAATAACAATACGAGGAGTCGAATACAATATCTAATGATCTATTAAATTTTATTTTTGCTTACAAGGTTGATCTTGAGTTTAAGGCCAAGTTCTTGTTTTCTGCTGGTAGTATCTATAAGGCTCCACCCTTGATTGTGAAGACAGTGTTGACATCTGAAGAATCAAAGGGGATAATGAAGAGTGGAAGAGGGATGAGATTGGATGAAGAAGGAAAATGCAGACTTGTTGGTGTGGCAACAGTTGAACCTATTGATGATTTCATTATGAATTCTTTCCTTGGTCTACCAACTGAGTGTCTTGCTGAATTAAATGCTGTCATCTTCATTTCTTCTACATCATAAGAGTTGAGATTTCATTGCAAAACTAAATACAACAAGATTAAAAAAACATAAGACAAGTTCCCAGATGGGGAATGTTATTTGAACATCTATCAAATGGACACTTTATATATATCTAGTAATCCCTCCGTCTCAAAAAGATTGTTGTACATAGATTGAAAAATAAATGCAACAATTTTATAAAAATTGTTCTTAATTGTTATTGATTACACATCATTGATATAAGAGTAAAGTGAGATTTATGTTTTGAGAGTAGTGTAGATATTATTAATTAGAGATAAAATTGATAAAAGGTAATTAATATTGCATTGAAAAAATAAAGACACACTTATTTTAGAATAATTTTTTTAGACTAAAGAAACACTTATTTTGAGAAAAGAGAGTAACAAATATTCAATGAACAGTTAAATGACTTGTATTTAACTAGAGAAAAGATTAATATACATTTAATATTGACGAGGTAAATAGACCTCTTATACAGTTCAATGTCCATGAAAATTGAATGATTCTGAACTAAAATTTTCAGGTTGATCTACATTTAATATCAACAAGATGAGTAGACTTCTAAGACAACTCATCTCAAAGTGTCTTTGAAAATTGAATGATTATGAATCAATGAACAAATCTCTAAGAGAACCAAATTCTCGATTAATTCACCTTAAAATGTTTTTGAAAATTGAATGATTATGAATCAAATTCTTCAAATTAATTTACATTTAATATCAATCGGAATCCATTGTATGTTCCCTTTTAATATAATAACAGTGTTTTAATGTTAAGATTTAAGTAATCATATAATATTATATTCTAATGATTTCATATTTTTTTAAGACTATAAATTAATATTTATATTTTATATATGACATACTGTGTTTTTATCCTGAGATAGTAGAATATAAGTCCACTTGGTTGATTATTTTTCAAGCGTAAAATTTAGTCTTCTAAGTCCACCTGAGCCGGATAACAATCAGGTCTAGATTTTAGAAAGTAGGAAACTAACCAATGTACCAAACTCAATCCTCCACTTGTAACAATTCAACTAGTACAAAGGCATTTCATTACCCTACATTCTATAACACTTCTCTTGTACATTTTTGGACACCAACACCAAGGTTATTGTCAAAACAGTTATTGTCTTTATGTATTTTAGGAAGGTTTATATTTGCAGTAATTCTGTAACAGCTGTATATCTTGCTAATTATTAGGTTTATTTATTTAGGATCAATCCCATAATCACAAGGATTTGTTTCCTTAGAACTAGCTGTCAAATTCCCTAAAATAGACTACAAGCTCATGTATATATACAGGTCCAGTGACCTCATAATAATACAACAACAATATTATTTATTCTAAATTTGATATGGTATCAGAGCTCCCGATCCTTGGGAGTCTCTGACCGTGCTTGTAAACCCTAAGTTGCAGCCTTCATTGCTGCACTACCTTTATACCTTGTCGCCGATTTCATTGCAGCGCAACCTTCTCTACCTTGATCGCACCTGGTCATGACTGAGATTGTGGATCCTATTCTGGAAACTGGGGACAGATCCCAGACTGCCGGAGAATTGCAGAATGTTCACTCTGCTTATCGGTTAAATGGGAAGAATTTTCTCAAATGGTCTCAACTTATTAGGACCATCTTGAAAGGAAAAGGAAAGGTCAGTCACCTAACTGATAGTGCACCTGATAAAACAAATCCCAACTTCAAATCATGGGAAGAAAAAGACTCCATGATCATGGCGTGGCTGTGGAATTCAATGGTCCCAGAAATTAGTGATACCTGCATGTTTCTTAAATCAGCAAAGGAAATTTGGGAGGCAGTAGAACAAACGTATTCTAAGGCCAAGGATGCTGCCCAAATTTATGATGTAAAGGTGAAAACTGTGGCTGCCAAACAGGGAAGCAGATCTGTTACAGAATATGCTAATCAACTCAAGTCTCTATGGATGGAATTGGACCACTATCGAGTTATAAAAGCAAAATGTTCAGAAGACTCAGCAATCCTTAAGGAGTATATTGAACAAGATAGAGTCTATGATTTTTTGGTAGGCCTAAATCCTGAATATGACCAGGTCCGAATCCAAATCCTGGGAAAAGAGAAAGTCCCAGGGCTTAATGAAGTGGTAGCCATTATCCGGAGTGAAGAAAGCAGAAGAGGATTGATGCTCGAGACCTCAATAACTGAAAGTTCGGCAATGATAGCTGAAGGAGGAACAATCATGGTTGCTAACCAAAGGAGAAGCGGGGTTCCCAACATGGAGAAAAAACATGAGGATATCTGGTGTACCCACTGTAACAAGCCGCGTCACACAAGGGAGAAGTGCTGGAAATTACATGGGAAACCCCCAAGCCGAGAATGGGGGCCGAAAGGAGGTCCTCCCAAAAAAGGAGGGCAAGGGCAAGCACACATCAGTCATGGACAAAGTGAAGGATCTGGCCAGCTGAATCATGAAGAGATAGAGCGGGTAAGATTCTTCCTTAGTAAATTGGAGAAGCCTACAGGTACATGCTCCTTAACATATTCTGGTAAGTTTCCACTTTCTTTTGGGCTTAATGTTTCAGATACACCATTTACACATTACTGGATATTAGACTCTGGAGCCACTGACCATATGACCCCTCTACCCAAATATTTCTCCACATATTCCCCATGTCCTAGCAGCAAGAAAATTTCCACAGCAGATGGAACTCTTATGACTGCAGCAGGACAAGGAGAGGTCCAAATAAACCCATCCATAACATTAAAAAATGTCCTTCATGTCCCTAAATTATCCACCAATCTGATTTCTATATAAAAACTCACAAAAGATCTCTCCTGTAATGCTGTTTTTCATAACAACTCTTGTATACTGCAGAACAAGAACTCGGGGAAGACGATTGGACATGCTAGAGAATGGAATGGCCTATACTACATGGAGGATCCTAATCTGCCTACCAATAGCCGCTCTCTCATGTCTGAATCCACCATGACCAACATAGAGAAAGTTCAACTATACCATTGCCGGCTAGGACACCCTTCATTTCGAGTTGTAAAAGTGCTTTTCCCTTTCTTGTTTAAAAATTTAAATGTGGAGAGTCTCCACTGTGATGTGTGTGAGTTTGCTAAACACAAGCGTGTACCTTTTCCCATTAGCAATAAGATGAGTCCTTGCCCATTTTTTCTTGTTCACACTGATGTATGGGGTCCTGCTTACGTTCCTAATATCTCAGGTGCTAAATGGTTTTTAACCTTCATAGATGATTGTACCCGGGTGACTTGGGTTTTTCTTTTAAAACAAAAATCTGAAGTTAGCTCTGTGTTTTTTCAGTTTGTCTCAATGATTAAAAATTAATTTGGGGTCGGTATCAAAAGAATTAGGTCTGATAATGCCAAGGATTATTTTAACCTTGTACTAAACTCTTTTTGCCAAAAGGAAGGGATAATCCATGAGTCCTCATGTGTAAACACACCCCAACAGAATGGGATTGCAGAAAGGAAAAATGGGCACCTATTAGATCAAACTAGAGCTCTACTTTTTCAAAACCATGTTCCTAAGAGATTTTGGGGGGAAGCCCTTCTTACTGCCACCTATCTCATCAATAGGTTGCCCACTAAAATCTTAGACTCAAAAAGCCCCATGGAAGTCCTATCCTCATTCTACCCACACTTGGATCCTACAAATAAACTCCAACCTAGAATATTTGGGTGTGTATCCTTTGTGCATGTTCATAGTAACGAAAGGAGGAAATTGGACCCTAGGGCTGTCAAATGTGTATTCTTAGGGTACTCTACCACACAAAAAGGATACAAATGTTTTCACCCCCTATCAAAAAAATTCTATGTGTCAAGAGATGTCACCTTCAACGAACGAGAGAGCTACTTTGGGCAGCCTCATCTTCAGGGGGAGAATGTAAGAGAGGAAGATGAGACTCTCATGCTTCCAAATATGACATTTGGACCTGAAATTGGGACAAATGGCATTGTTGTCCCTGAAACTAAGAGAACAGCAGGACCTGCACTTGAACCAACAGCAGGACCTGCACTTGAACCAACAGCAGAACCTGCACCTACACCTGTACCTGAACCAACAGCAAGACCTGCACCTGAACCTGCACCTAATGGTGGAAAATTTGGGAAAAATCTGGTATATTCAAGGAGAGAAAAGGCCATTCTAGAATCTGGCAATGTCCAAGAGTCCAGCCCATCATCACTGCATGAGGTAACACTTCCGAATCCTATAAATTCCAATGATTCTAATGAGTTTGTTTTTGAAAATTTAGAAGCACAGATGGACCAAAATCTAGACCTACCCATTGCCCTTAGAAAGGGAACTAGAGTATGCACCCAACAACCACTTTACCCACTATCAAATTTCTTATCCTTTGAAAAATTCTCACCTACCCATAAAACCTTCCTCACAAACCTCAACTCCACACACACACCTTCCTCTGTATCTGAAGCATTATCTAATATGAAATGGAAACAAGCCATGGATGTGGAAATGGAGGCGTTAAGCAAGAATAGAACATGGGAACTTGTCACCCTACCAATTGGAAAAAAAACAGTAGGATGCAAGTGGGTATATACAGTAAAGTACAGGGCTTATGGGACCATTGAACGTTACAAGGCAAGATTAGTGGCCAAAGGCTTCACTCAAACCTATGGAATTGATTACTTGGAAACATTTTCCCCGGTTGCTAAGATGAACACGGACAGAGTAATATTGTCATTAGCAGCAAATTATGGTTGGGACCTGCAACAGTTCGATGTGAAGAATGCTTTTTTACATGGAGACTTTGAAGAAGAAATATACATGGAGTTGCCCCCTGGTTACAATGGACAGGTTGCTGCTGGAACTGTTTGTAAGCTAAGAAAGGCTCTATATGGGCTGAAACAATCCCCAAAAGCGTGGTTTGGAAGATTCACCAAGGTTATGTTAGGTCTGGGCTACAAACAGAGCCAAGGGGATCACACATTATTTATCAAACATTCAGTTTCAGGGGGAGTAACAATTTTATTGGTGTACGTAGATGATATTATAGTAAGTGGGGATGACAAAAAGGAGCAACAAATGTTAGGTGAATGCCTTGCCACGGAATTCGAGATCAAGACATTAGGGAGACTTAAATATTTTTTGGGAATTGAAGTGGCCCATTCCAAGAAAGGAATCTTCATATCTCAACAAAAGTATATTACTGACTTGCTTAAAGAAACAGGTAAGACAGCCTGTAGACCAGCAAGTACCCCAGTTGATCCAAATATAAAGCTGGGAAGTGCGGAGGAGGATATTGCAGTGGACAAGGAAATGTATCAAAGACTTGTGGGAAGACTTATTTACTTATCTCACACTAGACCAGACATTACTTTTGCTGTAAGTCTAGTCAGCCAATTTATGCACCAACCAAAGGAAGCACATTTACAAGCTGCTCTTAGAATTGTCCAGTATTTGAAAGGGACCCCAGGAAGAGGGATTTTGTTCAAACGAAACAAGAGTGTAAGTCTTGAAGCATATACGGATGCGGACTATGCGGGATCAGTGGTAGATAGGAGATCAACTACTGGATACTGCACCTTCCTTGGTGGAAACCTCGTGACTTGGAAGAGCAAAAAACAGAGTGTAGTAGCTAGATCGAGCGCAGAAGCAGAATTTCGAGCAATGGCCCAAGGAATATGTGAACTTCTATGGTTGAAGATTATATTGGAAGACTTGAAGATAAGATGGGATGAACCTATGAGGTTATATTGTGACAACAAATCTGCAATTAGTATAGCCCACAACCCTGTGCAGCATGATAGAACTAAACATATCGAGGTTGACAGACACTTTATCAAGGAAAAACTAGACAGTGGCATGATTTGCACACCATATGTATCCACTCAGAATCAACTTGCAGACATACTCACCAAGGGGCTGAACTGCAGTAACTTTGAAAGAATTATATCCAAGCTGGGAATGGAAAACACCTATTCACCAGCTTGAGGGGGAGTGTCAAAGCAGTTATTGTCTTTATGTATTTTAGGAAGGTTTATATTTGCAGTAATTCTGTAACAGCTGTATATCTTGCTAATTATTAGGTTTATTTATTTAGGATCAATCCCATAATCACAAGGATTTGTTTCCTTAGAACTAGCTGTCCAATTCCCTAAAATAGACTACAAGCTCATGTATATATACAGGTCCAGTGACCTCATAATAATACAACAACAATATTATTTATTCTAAATTTGATAGTTATAATGAAATTATAAAATCTTCCTATTCCAAATTGGAATACCATTTTATCAACATAAGATGAGGTCTTGTACACCAAAATTGCCATAAAACATTAATTACATTTCCTTTTCTTTTCTTTTCTTTCTTTTTGTTGTTTCTCCTTGTTGTGTGATATCTTCTAAATAAAACCAGTATCCCCTTCTGCATTCTCCAAGCCAGAAAATTTTCCAGCTCCATGTCTCATGTATTGCTATTTGGTATAACAGTAATTACTAACAAGACCTTCATAATAAATTTATTCAAATGCAAGCCTTTGAGTGCCAACCAGTGAAGCATACTGGCCCTTTTTAGCCAACAGCTCAAAATGAGTGCCTAGTTCCGCAACCCTCCCATCTGAACAGAGTGCAATTTGATAAGCATTTTGAACTGTGCTTAACCTGTGAGCTATGACTAATGTTGTCCTCCCCTTCATCAAATGGTTGAGAGCATCTTGAACCAAGCGTTCACTGACGGTATCCAGAGCACTTGTAGCCTGCAGAAGCAAATAATATCAAAATGGATACAGCTTATATGGATTCAGTCAGTGTTGTCAAGTACCAACTATAACAGTGCTATAGCGCTGTAGTGTAGGGGAGTTTTTAACAAACCTTCTGCAATACACAATTTAGTACAACAATTTAGTACGTGTTGTTAAATAACAACTATAGCACTGTAATCTAGTGGAATTTGAAGAAACGACTTTTCTTTGTGATCTGCTATAGACAACACTGGCTGCAAAACTAGGACACAGTCGGATTGATGTCACTTTAGAAACAGCTTGGCTGTATGTTACTCTTCCTCCAAGTGAATCTAATCTTACTGTTAGGACAAAATGAAAAACTGAGTACAAAGAAATACGATGAATTAAACAAGTATATCACCTCATCAAGTATTAGGATGGGAGCATTCTTCAGGAGAGCTCGGGCAATGGCAATTCTCTGCAATATAGGAACAGTTAAGTCAAGAACATGCATTCTCATCCAAGGGAAGGTTTTGCATGCAACCTATATTATAAGTCTTTACCTGCCTCTGTCCCCCGCTCAGTAGGCCTCCGCGCTCACCAACAAGTGTATCATATCCCTTTTGAGAAAGGGTAACCAATAAGGTAAACAATTTATGCATTGTAATCATATAAAAGAATTTGCATAGCTAAAAAACAAACCAACCTGAGGAAGTGAAATTATAAAGTCATGAGCATTTGCTGCTTTTGCTGCCTTAATCACGTCGTCTTTAGAAACATCATCATCTGGAAGTCCATATGCAATATTTTCTCCAACAGACACCGAAAACAAAACAGGTTCCTGTCATATCATATGTCGATATTATCATTTGGAAACAAATAAAGCAATATGTTTGATATCAAATATGATTTCTCTTTTTCCTTTTATAGATTTCATACTTGATTTACGATAGCAACAACCCGGGCCCATTCACTTTTGTCAAATGTTCGGACATCCTCTCCACCAACTGTTATACAACCTCTTGTTGGCTACAGAAATAAAAGCCACTTCATCTATGTAAATTTCAAGACACAGAAATTAAATGAAATTTCAACTTACAAACTCTGAAATAGAAATCAAACCTCATAAAAACGAGACAGTAGCTGCACGATCGTACTTTTACCTGCACCACTAGCGCCCACCAGTGCAGTTACAGTTCCACATTTTAGTCTTAAATTTAAGCCGCTTAAAATTTCCACATCTGGCCTTAAGGGGTAAGAGAAATACACATCTGCAGTATAATATAAGTATAATTAGTTATGGAACTTTGAAACTTCATCTCTTACAAGAAAAGAAAAAGCAAGATGAGAAGCTCCCATTACAAAAGCATTGGCAAACATGGATGTTAACATCTAAAATTCATACATTACGGGATAGTAAAATTGCAATAGAGATAGATAGATACCTTCAAGACAAATATCTCCAGACCAAGCTACACTAAACACGTTGCTTGATGTTTTTAATGCTGACATGTAATGCAAATGGCTGTTTAGGTTTTTCTCATCAGAACTATTAGAGAAGAACAATTTATAGTGCTCATCGTTCACTGCCTTTTGTTTCAGTTCTCTTTCTAAGCCATAGGCAAGGGCATCATCAACTTGAACTCCAGATAGAACAGAGTTGATCCTCTCAACAGCCGCAAAACTTGAACGAAGATCTCCAAATGTATTAACCAATCCTTGAACCTGAGAGATATGATAAAATCAGAGAGCAAGGAGAGGATGAAAATATAAAGTAAAACAAGAAGTCAATAACTCAATTTTTTTACCGCAAATGTTAAAGTGAAAGTATATCCAATAAAAGATGCCATAGTTCCAACAGAGAGTTGACCCTGCAAGCAAGAACTATTAGTTACTCAGAAAGAGTTGTGAATAATAATTTCATTGATGGAAAATCCTTCGAAAAGAAACGGTAGGAGAAAGCGGTATATGATCAAACGATATAGAATTGCTTACCGCCTTAACTTTGCTTCCTCCGAGACAATATAGCGCAGTTAAAGAAATATAAACAGCAACTCTAGTTAAGGATTCATTTATAGATTTGAAAGTTCCAAGCTTTATACCACTCGATTCGAAGGATAGAACCTGTATGGAACTCATGATTAACATATAAGTATCTCTTCTAGAGGGAGTCTTACCTTTATGACTACAGCTATCGGTACTTTAATAAGCTTACCTGGTTAGCAAACATAAACATTTGCCGCTTTTCTCCAGTAAAGGATCGCACCTGTAAGTATGTTAGTCACTGTTTCAGTTGTTAATTACAGATCCAAGCCAATAAGATGCTCATTATAATATGAACTACTAGGAACTCACTGTTCGAATAGCAGAAAATGTTTCTGTTATACAATCAGATATAGAAGCTTGGGCCAACCCATGTGCTTGAAAAACAGGCAAAGTTGATCTCTTGTAGACAGCTTCAGCGAACCAAAAATGAAAGAAAAAAAAATAAACAGCATGGAAGAAGGCATAAAATGAAAAATATCATGGCACGATTTTTTTTTTTCATATAGTGGTGAAATTTATATTCAAGCTAAATAGATGTCATATAAGCAATTTATTTTTGAAGTTGTGATACACATTTCCCAAAAGTTTAGGAATGGAGGAATTCTATTGTCTATAACAAACGATAACAGTGTTAAAGTAAACCTAACACCAATGTTTTTAACCACCGAAAATAAAGGTTTCCGTTACGCAATAGTCCTGCTATAGCCGCTATTTGACAAGATTTATATTAAATATTATACATGGAATAATAGCAATCTGTTCAAATTCCACTATGCTATAGCATTGCAATAGTCGCCATGGTTGTTAGATTCGCAAGTCAACTCATAGACTTGTGCGAGCTTACGAGTTTAGGAGGTCAAAACGAGTTGAGTCGTACTCAGACTCCTTTTCATGGTAGACTCAGTTAGAATCAGATAGACTCACGCAGAATCACGAGTTTGACTCGTACTGACTCGGTCATACTACACAAATAGTTTTTTTTTACTGTTATTTTTGTTTTTCTTATCTTACTCTCGAGTCTGACAAACTTCATAGAAACTATTTAACAACACTACCTAAAACAACCGGTCGTGAACTGTTATGATCAAATACAAAAGAAATTTACCAATTGAAATGGAAACTGCGATCATCAGAACACCCAGAATTGGAGCCAGTTGAGGGGATAAAGTAAAAAGTATGAATATTGTCCCAGTGACCTGCAAATACAAGGAAAACAAAAGCAGCAATGAACATGACCAGCAATATGCAAATGAAAATATGCATGAATACAAACTAAGTGACAATAATAATTGTGTTACAAAAGCCACTCCTTAAGAAATGAAGGAGAGTCATCCCAACAAAGTGATAAAGGAATGAACCATACATGTGCTTAAATATGGGAAATATAAAGCTCACTTCTCATTGGTCTAGAGTTGCTTGCCTCAGATAATGCCCTGAATCCGCGATCCCTTGAAACATTCTCACCGACGATGTTCTTAAGAGAACCCAAATCAGATGTTAACAAACCAGTGATTTCACCTACCTACAAAAATAAACCAAATAAAGTGCAATAAATATTTGCACCTACTTCATTAGCATACTGTGAAGCAAAGAAAAAAATAGTTGTATCAGTATTATATAGCTTATTAACATTTGTGAAATATGTCTTTTAATTATCCTATGAGAGTGCTAGCACAGTGATGACTTTATGATCCTCAGACCATCATAGATTAATCGAGACTCGTAGAAAGAAAATAGTACTAAAAAGAAAACAATATGAAAATTCAAATATTAAGCTCACAACAAATTTGAGCCATGACTTTATCACCCAAGGCATGCAATCCATGAAAACTAATTGTCCAAGCACCATTCACCAACCATGAGTTAATAGGCAGGCATATGAAATATTCTGATTCAAAAATGAATTCCAAAAAGTGACTTGATGTTGCCAATTCAATTCAAGACGAAATATCCATTTCTTTTAGTGAATTCCTAATAGATTTTCTACGAAATGCTTAAGGAGCTCACGGTCACATCATAACTGCCTAGTTTTGTAACCAAAGAGGCAGAGTTTGAATACCAACTAAGAAATGTATGACCTATTCCATATATGTACCTTGTATTTGTCAAAAAACTCAACCTGCATAAATAAAAGGGACATCATTTGATTAAACAACCAAAGCGAAATATCTTATAAATAACTATCTCCATGCATTATCAGAACAGAAACTACATATGGAAAATTGAAAAAGAATAAAATAGAGCAAGAAAGATTACCTTCTGAATCAATAGTCTTCCAAAGATCTGAGCTCTTAGTGCTGACATAACTTTCTCCCACACTATGTTCATGTTTATTACAAAAATAACTGTAAAAATTGGCTCTAGAGCATACAGAACTCCCATTTTACTGAGAAGACTCCACAACGGCTCAGGTCTAACACCAATAAGAACTTCGAAAAACCGCCCTAAGAAAACAACACCATATAAGAATGCATAAAAGATAATCAATATTGAAATCATACAGGAGCATTAGCTAAGCATGAATACAAAGATAAAAGACAGCACCTAAAACGAACCCAATAGGGTGTTCAAAATAACATGTTATCTATTTATCCAATAAGCAGCAAATAAACTATTTATCCAAACAGAACCATAATAAAATTCTCAAAAATATCATATGAAATATCCAAGTATTATCCTATTATGACCAACTAGAGCTAAGCAATTTCACCCAACTATTATCCTATTTGCAATAAAATAAATACATAAAAAGTATGAAGTGCAAGCAATATTCATATAAAAAAAAATTAACCTGAAAAAATGGGCATGGATAGGGTACAGGTGGTACATGCCAAGAGAGAACCTACACAAACAGCAAGACGAAATTTATGTTTCATGAGAAGCGTAGAGAGAAGCTCCCACGTTACAACCCTAGGTGTGGGTGAATCCTCTTGCCGCAACCCGTCGAGTTTCGGATCCGTATCGGCGATATTCGGGTCGGAAGCGGGTCCCGTGACGTAAACATGTAGCGGTTGGGGGAGAAGATGAATGCGAGGAGAAGATATGGTTTTTGATTGGAATTGGATGGGGCGATTGAGAAGACGCGGGGAGAGTGAGAGCGAGTGCGTTGGTTTTTGGATTGTGAAGGAAGATGATGAAGAAGAGAGGGGAAGGTGGTAATGGGATAGTATTAGTGGTTTTATAGAGGCCATTCAGAGAGGGTGAAGTTCAGTTTAGAGAAGAATCCAAGAAGAATGAATGTGAGTTGAAAGATCGACTTTTTTTCTTCATTCCTTAAGAGAGAATATATATATATATATATATATATATATATATATATATATATATATATATATATATATATATATATATATATATATATATGTGTGGGGTCGACTCATCATTCTCAACCAAGCTCTGAATGTGTCGCGTCGACCCTTCAAGTCGACTCAACCTGAAAATTAAAATATTCAATTATTGCGTCGACGCAGGCTCTGTAGCGGTCAACGCACTATACTTCAAAATGGTTTTCCTCCACCTGCAGGATGTGTCACGTCGACTCTTCCGGTCGACTCAATCTGGGAATTAAAATATTCAAATATTGTGTCGACGTAAGCCTTGTAGCGGTCGACGCGCTACACTTCAAAATGGCTTTCCTCCACCTGTGGGTTGTGTCGCGCCGACCCCCCTTACTGCTTGAGTCGACTGCTCGCAGCTTTCAACTGTTTTTCTGCTATGCTTTTGGGTCTTGACTATTAGGTAATATATATATATATATATATATATATATATATATATATATATATATATATATATATATATATATATATATATATATATATATATATATATATATATATATATATATATATATATATATATATATATATTCATTGAGTATCATCATTTAAATTCAACAAGAACTAGTGAAAGATACACATAGTGCTCGTCATCTTCATCCTCTCTTCTCAAAAATCAACATCTACATATAATCATGATTATTGATTCAAGAAAATTGTTGTGGTGATAACGTTCAAATCAAGGATTCAATTCAATTTTGGGTTGAGCAATTGTGGGTTGTTCTTGAATAAAATCGTTTGGATTTTGTCCTCCAAGATTCCAATTGGTGTGGGGGTTTTTGCACAAGTCTTTGCTTCATCGAATTCAACCGAGTGAAAGGATTAAGAAATAGTGGGTTTGCTTAATCAAGTAGTGGTAACCGGAGGATTGTGAAAGAAGATTTGGGGTCAAATTGCTTGCGATCAAAATCAACCGAGTGAAAGGATTAAGAAACGGTGGGTTTGCTTAATCAAGTAGTAGTAAGCGGAGGTTTATTTGAAGAATTTGGCATTTGGTTTGGCTCAAACCAAGGAAAGGGAAGAAGACTGTTACATCAGCAACATTGGTTTGTTTGTATTGTGAACTATTTATTCTCTTATAACATTTGCAACTTAATAACAAATATCTCAATTCTAGATTCTATAAGTGGGGGCAGACGTACCCTACGCGAGGACGACAAGGGGAAATGCCTTAATAAATCGTGTGTTCTTCTTTTTCTTTATTTCCATGCTTGATTACTATAATTTATGGAAATTAAATTGTTAAATTTGCTTGTACTGAAATTATGGTGTGTTGAGATCATTTCACAATATTGGTAATAATCTGTTTGATTGATACCTAAGAAAATTCACCACTACAATTTAGTAAAATCAAACCTAAGGTGTTTTGCACATAAGGTGTTTGACAAATTGACTCATCCATAAATTATTCATTGTGTTTAGCTTTATCTTAATCAACTCATTGGAAGTAATTCATACTCATTGAGGGTGTATAAGTGATTGACCAATTGAGTAAAAATTATTGATTCTTATTTTGTCATCTTATCCCATACGGTTACACATATTTGATCTTTTCAATAGAGGATCGTTTAGACGATTGTAGATTCCGGGAGCTTTCGCATATATTTCTGAAAAACAATTTTAAAAATCACAAATTATTTTAAATGATCTATTCAACCCCCATTCTAGATCGATCACATCGTCTAACAAGTGGTATCAGAGCGTCGATTTATCTGGTGCTTCGCATATTACTTTGTAGAATATGGAGAACAATCCAAAAGGGGCTTATATGAGAGCTCTTGTTTTCATCGGTGAAAACTATAACTATTTGAAAGATTGTATGTGTGTGCATATTAATTTTGTTAATAGAAAGATATGGAAAGTTATTGAGGATGGTCTTATACAAATAACCATGACCAATGAGGATAACGTCACCATACCCAAACCGGAAGCACTATGGGGTGAGGAAGACGAGAAAAAGTATAGATATGATTGGAAAGGTAGAAATATGCTTATTTCTTCTTTAGGTGTTGATGAGTATTTTAGAGTTTCACATTGTGCTACTACTAAGGCCATGTGGGATGCTCTACAAATTGTCCATGAGGGGACAAATGATGTTAACTTTTCTAGAATCAAATACATTGACTCAAGAGTTTGATCTCTTTCACATGAAGCATGGTGAAACCACTGCGGATATGCAAAAGAGATTTTTCTCATATAATCAATCGCTTACACGCTCTTGGTCATGTTACTCTCAATGTTGTTGCTACTAACAAAATTTTGAGATGTCTTAATAGGGAATGGCAACCTAAAGTTATAGTAATCAAGGAAGCCAACAATCTAGCTACACTTGACCTAACAACATTGTTTGGGAAGCTTCAAGAGCATGAGCAAGAGCTCATAAATCTCAACAAGCACGAGAAAAGGAAAAGAAAGAAAAACCAAAAGACACGGAAAATAAGTCTATTGCATTAAAGGCTTCAAGGTCAAAGTCCTCCACCAATAACTCATGTGTGAGTGATTCCAGTGATGATGATGAAAGTTCAAGTGAAGACATGGGGTTGTTTGTGAGGAAATATCATAGAATATATCCGAAAGAATGAAGTCTAACACTCGGACAAAAATCTCATCAACTATAGAAGCCAATCAAAACATTCAAGATTAAGGTAAGAAATCTAAATCAAGAGAATCATGTTTCAACTGCGAAAAACCCGGTCACTACAAACCGGATTGCCCATTGCTCAAGAAAGACAAAGTAAAAGACAAATTCCAAAGAGACCTAACATAGCTAGAAGAGCATACATTTCTCGGGATAGTGATAGTGAAGCTTCAAGCAAAAGTGACACTAGTGACGAAGAATAAACGGTCAACCTTTGTCTCATGGCTCATTAAAAGAAGAAAAGCAATGTAAGTCACTCTAAATATGATCATATTGATAAAATGTATCACATAGAATTGCAAAGAGCTTTTGATACTCTACAAAATGAGGTTAAAGAAGCTTTTAAACGATTAGCCTCAAACAAGAAAAGTTTTTCATACCTTGAGCAAAAAGTGTCCAATTCTCAAAAAGAGTTGGAAGCCCTCAAGACATCTATGGTAGAGAAAATCAAAACTGATAGCAAAGATGACAAGTTTTTTTGGAATGATTGGGTTGGATGTGAAACTTGTTATATTTGGCAAAGAGAGGTAAAAACTCTCAATGCCAAACTTGACAAGGCTTTACAATCCAAAATTACTTTTAGCATTGATAGATCAAATTTCAGAAGTAGTATGATTAATCCTTATAAAAATACACTTATGAAATAAGAGATCCTCCAAGCAAAAGTAACTTACCCAAACTCTAACTTGTTTATATTGTTGCAAAAGGGGGCACACTATTGGCAAAGGTTGATTTAGGAGGTTTTTGGTTCCTCAAGGAATTTTAAATGGTTGCCAAAATGCAACTCAAGTATCACTCACACACAAGGACCCAATAAAAATTGGATACATATTTACCTTGTTTAAATTTGTAGGTGGAATGTCTTGAGACTACGGAGAAAAGATGGTTTCTCGATAGTGGATGCTCAAGACATATGACGGGTGACATCTCCCTATTTTTTTTTACTTTATGGCGAAAAAGAGAGGATTTGTCACCTATGGCGATAATAACAAGGGAGAAATACTCGGTAAAGATGGTGTAGGTAATCCTCTTTTACTATTATCTCTGATGTCCTATTAGTTGATGGTCTTAAACACAATCTCATTAGCATTAGTCAATTATGCGACAAAGAATACAATGTCTCTTTTTCAAAAGATTGTTGCATAATTGAATACAATAATAAGAAAGATGATGTGTTCAAAGGCTTAAGGGTAAACAATGTGTACATGTTTGACTTGAATAATGTATTTGTAACCAGAGCTAAATGTTTAGTCACTTTAAGTGAGGACTCATGGCTTTGGCATATACGTCTAGCTCACTTGAATTTTGATTTGTTAAATAAAATTGTCTCAAAAGATTTACTAGTCGGTTTACCCAAACTAAAATTCTCCAAGGATCACTTATGTGATGCTTGCCAAATGAGGAAGCAAACAAGAATCTTGTTTAAATCTAAAAACATTGTTTCTACAACGAGACCTCTTGAATTTCTTCATATGGGTCTTTTTTGACCATCTAGAATTAAAAGTCTAGGTGGTAACTACTGTGGATTTGTTATTGTAGATGACTACTCTAGATTTTGTTGGACAATTTTCTTAGCAAATAAAAGTGACACCTTTCCAACATTTGAAAAGTTTACCAAGATTTCTCAAAACAAATTGAACACTAGCGTAGTTACTATTCGGAGCGATCACGGTGGTGAATTTGAGAATGATCTATTTGATAAATTTTGTGAAAAATACGGTATTGATCATAATTTTTTCTCCCCACGTGCTCCGCAACAAAATGGAGTGGTGGAACATAAAAACCGTGTTTTAGAAGAACTCAGAAGAACTATGATCAATGGACATCGTCTTCCAAAATACTTTTGGACCGATGCGATTAACACGACATGTTATGTTTTGAATAGGGTTCTAATACGTCATATTCTAAACAAAACTCCCTATGAACTTTTAAAAGGAAGAAAACCAAATATTTCTCATCTTCACGTTTTCTGATGTAAATGCTTTGTGTTAAATAATGGTAAGGAAAATCTAGGTAAATTTGACTCAAAAGTCGATGAAGGTATCTTTCTCTGACACTCTCAATCAAGTAAAGCTTATAGAGTATTTAATAAAAGGTTACATATTGTTGAAGAGTCTGTGCATGTTTCCTTTGATGAATCCAATCCGAAATTAGTCGGAAAGGGTAGTGTTTATGATGATGCAGGTGTATCTTCGGAAAGCATATTACAAGATCC